CACCTGTAATCGCTAGCAGACTCGGGAGCCGAGGCGGGAGGAATTGCTCAAGGTCAGGAGTTCAAAACGCAGCCGTGAGCGAAGACCCTGTTGGTACTAAAAATAGAAAAGAAATTAATTGGCCAACTAAAAAATATAATACAAAAAAATTAGCTGGGCATGGTGGTGCATGCCTTATCCTAGCCCAGCTGCTCGGGAGGCTAAGGCAGAAGGATTGTGTGAGCCCAGGATGAGTTGCTGTGAGCTAGGCTGACGCCACAGCACTCACTCTAGCCTAGGCAACAAAGCAAGACTTGTCTCAAAATAATAAATAAATAAGTAAAAATAAAGTAAGTTTATTGGAAATACTCTCCTAAACATGGATACATTTTATTTTGTTTATCTTTACTAATTAGGTCATGCAACCCATCAGTGAATATTGTTTATTGCTATAACAAAAAAGTATTCAATACCAGTTCTGTTCCTATTTTTTTTTCATGCTGATAAACCTTGTTTTTTTTGTTTGTTTGTTTGTTTTTGTGGACAGAGTCTCACTTTGTTGCCCAGGCTAGAGTGAGTGCTGTGGCGTCAGCGTAGCTCACAGCAACCTCAAACTCCTGGGCTCAAGCGATCCTCCTGCCTCAGCCTCCCAAGTAGCGCGGAGCTACAGGCATGCGCACAATACCCGGCTAATTTTTTCTGTGTATATTAGTTGGCCAATTAATTTCTTTCTATTTATAGTAGAGACAGGGTCTTGCTCTTGCTCAGGCTGGTTTCGAACTCCTGACCTCGAGCAATCCGCCTGCCTCAGCCCCCAGAGGCTAGATTACAGGTGTGAGCCACCGCGCCGGCCTGAAAACCTTGTTTACATAAAATAAGTAGATGGGAATGGAAGGAATTTTTAAAAAAGAATCTTAAAATTCCTTTTTATTATACCAAGAACCAAGGTGATCTATCATCAAAATTGATTGTTTATTGTCAATTGACAACTTGCTAAAGTTCTCCAAACTTTGTTGCAAAGAATTGGAAAAGATCATTATAAGCTGGTTGTCGTTGGTTGTGTTAAAGAAGAAAAATAGAAAATTTTAAAAAAAGAATGGAAAACATCGGACTTACAAAAGGGATTTGTAACTTAGTCATTAATGCCTGCTGAGTTTAGTATGGATGAGAGTAAATTGAAGCTGATTGTAAGAGAGGACTTTGTTTTGATCTTTAGCAATCAGGAGCTCTACCCTCAAGCAGATCGCTTGGTGAAGAATTTTTTTTTACTTTAAAATTTTTAATTTTTGCCTTTTAAAAAGGAGGTAAAATATACTGTAT